TTAGTCCCGTAATTGAATGTTCTTATCATTTTAGTCTCATAAATTCAGTCTGTCGCAAACTAGTCCCATAAGTGAGAAATTTTCGTTGTTTTAGTCCTCCGACTCCGGAGACGCCCGTGTGGCTCGCCGGAGGCCACGTCTGGTGTTATTTGTGTAAAATACTTTTTCATTATCTTTTAAAAATTTTATAACAAAATATAATATTTTATTTATTGAAATTATGTACTCCCTCTGTCCCCAATCTATCTATCCATTTGCTTTTTGCACGGAGTTTTAGAAATATTAGTATTATATTGGAATAAAGTAAAAATAAAGGTAAAAAGACTAAATTAACCCTATTAGTATTGTATGATATAAAGGTAATGACATTTGTGTAATATATTGTAAATTAGAAGGGTAATTGTAATGTTAGGTATATAGTACAATTACTAAGAAAGGAAACGAATACTTTTGTTATGAGACGGACCAAAATAGAAAAATGAATAAATTGTTAAAGGATAGAGGGAGTAATATTTTAAAAAAAAACCTTTTATGTCTTTATCATATTTGAACTCATGATCTAATCACGAGTCCGTAAGGATTATTTTTTATTTATTTATTTATTTATTGATAACGTGAGCTGTTATCTTTTTATTTATTTATTTTACCCACAGTACACTCGAAGGATACAGTCCACGTTATAAAAAAAACAAATAAATAAATATGCATATATGAGCTGTGAGAATTGAGTAATATTATATATATATATATATATTTAAAGAAAAAAGCAGAAGAAAGAATAAAAAGAAGACACCAAAATTAACTTCATGAGCTGTAATTGGAAGCAAAATAGGACAAAAAATAGCAATATATTAAAAGTTGGATTGATGAATTATACACATAAATAAAATTTGGGCACTTTATAATAAATAAATAAAATTGGGTAGTTTTTATAATTTAAAAAAAAAAAAAAGAGTAATAAATATTTTAGCTTTATGTTTTGTGCTTTATCAGGTTATGTATAAAAGTTGCTACATTATTGTACCGGAAGGCTGGCGTTCAGTACGTCCAAATATTATTGAATTATCGGTATTTTTAAATTATTGCTTTCTCCCTATGGGAGGAAATAGTTCATTTTGGTTCAATATAGAAATTAAAAAGACAAATATTTTATAAAAAATAATAATAAAAAAATAAAATTATTGATGATATTTTTAAAAATTTAATTAGTAATTAACTATGATGAATAAAGAGAATATAATAAAATTAATATTTAGGTAAAAGAAGGGCAATCTTATCTAGACCATATAAGTTAAATGTTGAAAATTTGACTTTGTCGAAATTTAATAATGAACTAAATTTAATGGATGAACTAAAAAAAATAAAGTAAATTTGATGGAGTTGATGAAAAAATAATCAAGTATGTATACATTAAAAAATAATAATAAAATAATTATTATTTGTTAACGTATGAATAATTTTTTTATTATAATTAGATTATACATAAATTTAATGGAGAGTAATAAAATAGATAAAATTATTTCAAACAAAAAAAAAAAACTATAATTTATAACATACACATTTTAAATTTAATATATTTAAAATATATCTTGTAAAAATAACATTGGCTCCATTCACGCAGTATTTTTGGATGAAATAAATTTTGATATGTACTACGAGAAATTATAATAGAAAATAAAAAATATATTATTTTAATTTAAATATCTGACTTTTTGTAACCTAATGAACTAACTTGACTATGAGTCTAGTGTTACATTCCAACCTTGACTATGAGTCCACTATTACATCCTAACCATCTAAATGTGACATCGTCTTAAAATCTAATCACTCCACCAATAATCTAAAAGAAAATCTCAAATACATTCTCTAAAATCCCACAACACATCTACAAAGCTACAAATTTATTTCGTGTTGATCCGGCCAAGTCAGCATAATGCTGATTTGGTAGGGTCAACATATATCATATGAGTGACCAATGTATATTTATATATATCTCAGCATATGATGTTTTATCAGGAGTGGCTTTTAGCAGGAGCGGTGAGCGATTGCTCAGACTCCTAATTAATAGAGTGCCTAGGTTTTAAAATATTACCCATTATTATTATTAAATTTTAATTGGTAGTTTATATTTTTTCTTTATAATTATCCAAATAAATTTTAAAATTCTAATTATATATATATTTTTCTTTCTTTTTAATTCGTCTACAATTCTCTACATCACACCAATTGTACTACGTTCACCCACTCAGACCAAACTCGCTTACCTTCTCTCTCCTCTCTCTTTCGCCCCCACCCAGTCCTTCTCGCTTTTCGAGCTTCCAAACAGTTAATCTTTCATTTTTTTTCTCAAATCTACCAAGCGCGGACGTTAAAATTTTTTGTAAATCGATGCAAATTAGTGATATTATTTTAAAAATATATATTTTAATTATGTGTTTATAGGGTCTATAATTTATTTTTGTTAAGGCCTAAAAAGTCCGAGACGGTCCTATGTGTTATAAGATAATATATGCTAAGTTATAATATAATATATATTTTATTATAAATTTATTGAAATATGTATAAATATATATTGATCACCCACTGTAATATAAGATAATCCAATCAAAATCAGCACCATATAACTTAACCAAATCAATAGGTGATTTATGCCTTATCTACAATAATGAGATCCAAAACCATGAAATATGGTCGCCCCATATAATGCTTCGTTTAAATATAATTTTTTTTTCTAACATTTTGAAAATTTTAAATTTAGAAAACTAATAGTGATAAATAAATTTTTTTAGTGAAATATAAAAATCAAATTCTAAATCAAATCTCATTATTAACTAATTTTCAATCGTAAAATATCAAATCAAATATTTTTTATATTATATTAAAAAATAATTAAAAATTTTAGACATCATATAAACATTTATATATATTATATTGAATATTTATTAATTTTTATTATTCAAAATTCTGGTCCTACTTTTAAATTTGCAATAAAACAGTTAAATTTGTATTTACTAATTATTACTATACTAGAAAATATAACTAATTTCACGGGACGACCAAAAAAGAAAATGTGAACTAATTTCACAGGACGGAGGGAGTACATCAAAATACTATTTTAAATAAATATTTAAATTAATATTTTATTTTAAATCAATTTTAAATTACAACAAAAAGCAGAAGTTTTTATTTTTATATTTAGTTTTTAAGCTTACGTAAATCGAGCTAATGTTTTACTTCTATATAATAGTTTTGTATTTAAATATTTAGTGATAAAAAATATTTCGTCTGTTCACTTAACATTTTTCAACGAAACAATTCTCTATAAATATTAAAAAAATACAAATATACATACATTAATATAATATATATATCGTCTACTCATAAAAAGTCAACAATTCAATACAAAATACTCCTTCCGTCCCCCAAATTTATTATCATTTTCCCTTTTAGTCGGTCAACTAAATTTATTCAATTACTAATTTTGACAAAGTCAATAAATTATATTTAATTATTACCCTTCATTCAACACTTATTTACAACAAATATTACTAACTTTATTACATTCTCTATATTCGTTTACTCTACTTTTTAACTAATTTTTCAAAAATACCTCCAACTACCTATCATTTTTTTAATAAAAATATTCACTTGTCTTAATTCCCGTGCCGAACCCAAATGAGTTTATTTTATTGAATGAAGGGAGTATTATTTTTTATATTACCAACACAGTTCTCTGTACCACACAAAAAAAATCAGTTCATATAAAAACGTTGAGTGAACATACTCATTATTACATATATATATATTTGAGTAAACTTTGATATATATAATACTTCCTACGTCCGCTCTAAGGGTCACATCTATCTTTTACGTAATTGTACTTAATATTTAAAATATTCCTATATTTATATAATTTTTTGTACAAATATCATTCTATTAGTATTATAAGACATTTGGAAGTATTTTAGCAATTTTTTTTTAATTTGTATTATATTTTGATATAATAATTAATATTCAAATATTAATACACATAAAATAAATGAGACCTAAGATCGGACAGACGGACGGAGCATTTGTTTTATATTTTCCTATTAAATATTTTCATATTTGTAAAAATATTTTAATCAATATTTATTTTTATGCAAAATTGCAAACTCAATAAATGAAAGATTAAATAATGAAAAGATAGATATATTTGAAAAGAAAACCAAACTCAACACAACCTAAATTCAAACATAAAAAAAACAAACATATATGCATATATATTTTTTAAATATTAAATTTAAAAATAACCTTTTTTAGAGTTTAATTATAATTTTTTTTTTATTATACAACTATAGTAATTTTTTAATCTATAAATATTATATTCAAAAATCAAAACATAACATGATGCAAGAAAATAAATAAATAAAAATAAAAAAAAGAACACACAACATAACCCTTTTTCTATTGACAATTTTGCATCTAACACACATTCTATAATATATATATCTTAGAATGTTATATTTAAAACACAAATTTCATTCAAGTTTTTATTATTTTAAAAGTAATAAAAAAAAAAAGAATAATAAAAGATAAGCACATGTTATTTCTATTTAGAGAGAGAGAGAGAGAGATAGAGAGAGAGAGAGAGAGATTAGTTATATATTAGGGGCTTTGTGGTTGGGGTTAGGCACCATTAAGAATAATAATAATTAAGATCATTTACTTGTATTTATTTTGTCAAACTGTTCAAACTATATATATATTTATTTATTTATATTTATTTATTAGTTTGATATCTTACACGTTTCATCTCTGCCACCGTCAATATTATTATTATTATTATTATTATTATTATTATTATTATTCCCCATCTCTGTGGAAGATTTTTGTATAAATACATTGTACTGAGTTCCATCTTCACAATAGTTTTCCTTTGCTGCTACCTTCTTAATTAATTCTATATATCAAAATAAATAAATAATAATAATAATAATAATAATAATAATAATAATAATATGAAGAAGCAAGGTGCAGAGGAGGATATCGTGAATGTGGTCTCCCCTAATTGTTATCCCATAAAAAGGTACTATCCAATTATATCATTTCATTTTATTTGATTTTGATGATTGTGTCCTTAATTTATTTTTTATCTTATACTACATTCGTCCGACTATAAAGGTTACAATTACTTTTTGAATGTTGATTTTTGAATATTAATTATTCTATTAAAACATAATACAAATCAAACGAAAATGACAAAAATGTTTGGATTAATGTCTTACCATACTAATATAACGATATTTATACAAAAAAGTAGGCAAATATAATGATATTTGTAATGTTAAGTACAATATCGCAAAAAATAAATATAATTTTTAGAGAATGACAAAAAATATACATATTTATATCTTATTATTCTATTTTATATAAATTAATTTAGATTGATCGTATACAGGAGGTGGTGGACAAAGGAGACGGTGGCCGTTGTCACCGGTGCCAACAAGGGCATTGGGTTCGCCCTTGTGAGGCACCTCGCCGGGTTCGGGCTCAACGTGGTCCTAACTGCTCGGAGCCCGGCCCGGGGCCTCCAGGCCGTCCGCTCCTTGAGAAGGGAAGGGCTGCATTGTCATTTCCATCCCCTCGACGTCTCCGACCCCAACTCAATCCAACATTTTGCCTTGTGGTTCCGACGAACTTTTGGTGTACTTGATATTCTCGTAAGTTTCCTCCCGACACTCTATTTAATAAATAAAAAGAAATAGACACATATATATATATATCTATGTATATATATTTGTGGTTATTGTATCGAAAGAGAAATCAATACAGTGCTGATAAGGCAAAGTAATAAGGCTTCCAATTACACCCTCTACAAATAAAACAATACATGAAATATTAAATAGAAATACGTAACTAGTACCATAAGAGATGACTTAGTAGTATGGAGATGAACTTGTAATCGTGAGATCATGTATTCAAATTCCAACGCGTTCAGGTTCACCTAGTGTAATTTGCCTTATTCGGCAAAGTTTGCAGGATATTAGGTTCGGACCGTTCTGCTTGAGAGTTTACCCAACTAACTTTCTATGCTTCAAATGTGCTGAAAACAATCTATTTATTTTTTTATTTTGATCGATTCGGAATCAATTTATCCATTTCATTTTTCATTTTTTTTTAAAAAAGTTATATTTTTATGCAATTTAAAAAAAAAACTGTTGTAACTTACATATTATTACAAAAATATTATCATCATTATCATTGTTATTTAACTAATTTTTTCTTTTTGTTTTTCTAAAAGTAAATTTGACGATATGTAATCCCTTTTTATTATATAAATATAAAATACTAATATTAAAAAATTTACGTGTAAAAATTAAATAAATAAATTCATGCCCGATGGAATCAAGAAATACTATCAAATACTCTCTCCGTCCAAGCAATAAATATACATTTACTTTTGGCGTGGAGTTTAAGAAATAATAGTATTTTAATTATAATGAGTATGTTAAAGTAGTGTAACGATATTTTTGCCTTTGCTTTTTGGTATAAAAGTAATGATATGATATAAAATAAGAGTATTTGTAAAAAAAAAATAAAAGTATTTAATAAAATAATAACTTTGCAGTTCGACGTCCAAGCACTTATCATATTTATTGTTTGATGTAGACTAACGAGTCTTGTGATGATTATATTAAATATAATAAAGTGGATGAATTAAATATATTATCTTTATATTGTTAAGTAATGACTATTTTTAAGAACTTTCCAAGCTATGAAAGATTACGCGGGGGCTTTGACTTCAACTACGAAAGTTATTCATATATTGGACTTTGCCAAAACATATATAGGAAAATTTGTTCTGTTATCTTTTCCATACGATTTAAATTTAATTTAATTTTTTAAAAGATACCTATACAATTTTTAAATGAAAATATATATTTTCATAAAATATTTAAAGGAAAAAATTATTTCATCTCAAATACTTTTATAATTCTCAATAACTAACAACAAAAATCTCGTCGTTCCTAAAACACGAAAAGAACACATGCTATATTCTTTTGAAATTTGATTTGATTTTTTTTTTTATTTAAACAATAGTTTTAACATAATATTTTTTAAGATGGAATAACATTATCGCACAAAAAAAAAAAAAAAAAAAAGAAAAGAAAACAACAAAAAAGTACTTAAATAAAATTCTAGAAGTATAGATAATTGAAATATATTGAATCTTTATATGTAATTTGATTTTTTTTTTTTCTTTTAAGTTAAGATTGCATTGTTATTTTAATTTAAAAGAAAACATAACCATATTCACACCATTATTTTAGATATTGGTAATGATTTGTTGAATTTATTATTACATATATATATATATAAGATAGAAAATACATAATAATGCAATATACAATAAATATTTTAACAGTACATGCTATAATTTCACATAGTACAATATATTATTGATTACAATATGATACAATATATGATATGTACAACACATATTCTATGTGATACAACATACCCTACTCTTTCAATTTATATACTCTCTCTGTCCCATAACTATGTATTCGTTTGCTTTTTGCACGGAGTTTTAAAAATATTAGTATTATATTGGGATATAGTAGGAATAAAATAAAAATGACTAAAAAACAACTTTATTAGTATTGTGTGATATAAAGGTAATGACATTTGTGGAATATATTGTAAGTTGTAAGAGTATTTGTAATAATAGGTAGATAGTACAGTTGCTAAAAAAAGAAATTGATACTTTGTTACGGGACAGACTAAAATGGAAAATAGATACTTTGCTATGGAACGGATAAAGTATTTGTGTTGAAGGAGTTAAATTAGTACAATATTAATTTGACCCAATCACCATAGTAATCGCTGCCATTTATAATGTATAATTGGTGATGTTTTTATTTAGCTCATAATACAAAAAATTAACTAATAATACATCATATACAAATCCATAGAGAATATGTACATTATACATAATATTCATAATATTAAAATTAACGTAGTAAACGCTAAACCCTAAAACCTATTCCATTGCAGATAAACAATGCCGGTGTATCCTTCAATGGAATACAAGAAAACTCGGTCGAGCAAGCTGAGACTGTTCTTCAAACGAATTTTTACGGACCTAAGATTCTGACGGAAGCCCTCTTGCCAATTTTTCGTCGCTCATCCAACAAAGCTCGGATTTTTAATATCAGCTCAAGGCTTGGATCGATAAATGTAAGTTATACAAGCAATTTATTTGATGATTCTTCTTGGAAAATCAAACTATGGGTTGGTTCTTTAATTTTTTAAACCATTTGTAATAAAAATAAAATAAAATCTGCCCCTCAATTTTCTAATAAAGTTGTATTATTTTTTTTTTAAAAAATATTAAAAATTAATTTGTTCAAACAAATTTATAATACCAAAAAATTAAACTTTTCAATTTTCAATAATTAAGTAGCAACCCAAAGTCATAAGAAATCTTAAACCGTGAAAGAACAAACTTATATATATATATATATATCTATGATCAATTATTAATCTTTTTTTCTCATATGTTCGTCATTTGTGTTTTGATCATATACTTTGAATTTGTTCTTCTTGTCTCGTACGTGATTCAATTTACAAATTTATGTCTCCACATAAATGAATCTTTGGTTAAATTAAAAATTTAATCATGTATTTATAATCAACTATCACTCTTATCTCGCATATTTTTTTAGTTGTATTTGGATCCCATAAAAAGTTACTTTCAATAAAAATTAACTAACTATTTACAAGGCACATGATCAAAATATAGTTGAACTAACATCGACGACAAAATTAAAAATTAGCATTCGATAAACGGCTAAATTTACAAATTTTCATAGTCTTCTATAAACCCTAATCAAGAATTTAATAACTTTTTACGCGAATCGCAGAAGCTGAAGAATCCGGAATTAAAAGAAAAGCTCCTTGATGAAGATGGTGAGCTATCGGAGAAGCATATAGAGAGTATGTCGAGGTCATTTCTAGAGAGTGTGAAGAATGGGACATGGAGAAGCCATGGATGGCCCAAAGTGTGGACTGATTATGCAGTTTCGAAATTAGCCCTAAATGCATATTCTAGGGTTTTGTCGAAACGTTACAAAGCACATGGCCTAAGTGTGAATTGCTTTTGCCCTGGCTTCACTCAGACCGCCATGACAGGCGGCGTTGGTACGCATACGGCTGATGCCGTGGCCGAGGTTGGCGCACGTCTCGTGTTGCTTCCGCCGGATGATCTTGCCACCGGAAAGTTTTACTTGTTTGGATCGAGTTATAATTCTTCGAAGTTGTAGTCAAATTTATATTGAGGGTATCGAATAATCGAGAGGTTTGGTTTTGTGTCTTTGTAATGTAATATATATATATATTGTGTTATGATGCGAGAACTTGCTACCGCTATTTTTTTTTAGTGTGCTTTTGGAATGTATTAGTTAGTTATGTTTGAAGTTGTTTATTCATTAGAACTTTTTTGAGAAAGAATAAATAGTTAATGAGTTTATCCGCGATGTTGTATAATTATGAAAATATGAGTGTGTTATATTTTGTATTTTTGAATGAATATATTTTTTATGTTAAGATATAAAGAATCGTATCGATAATATACATATATATATCATCATATTTTGTATTGAATTATCAATTTTCTTCGTAAAAGAATAGAGTATATATATTATATATTTTGTAATATTTACAGGGAATCATACTAGCAAAAAAAATAAAAAAATATTGAACGAACAAACCCTTTATTACATGTTATAGTATATAGTGTGGGATGAAAAAACTAAACCTCTTTAGTAGTATTATAAAAGCATTTGGTATAAAAAGGAAATTAAAGATAAATAATACTCCCTCTGTCATAAAAAATTTATTTTCATTTTTTTTTAATTGTTATTTAAATTTATTTTTGTTTTTTTTTAGTAAAAAGGTAATACTTTTTTTACTTTTTAATTTACCCTAAAAAATATTTTTATTTTTACTTATTTTTTTTAAAACATGTGCCGAATCAAATGATAACATTTTTTTTTATGACGGAGAAAGTAGTAGAAAAATAGAATGATAAGAAAATTTTTTTTCAATAAACAATAAAAACTCGGTCTTTGTTTGGTAGAACAAAGAATCCAATCAAAATATATGTAAAAAAAATAATACAACGGTCATTAAATATTTTCAAAAATCAAAGTACAATCTATTGATTTCTTAATTTTTATTTATCTCATTATTATTATTATTATTATTATTATTATTATTATTATTATTATTATTATTATTTGTATATGAAAGAAAGTTGAAAAGAAATAATTATTTTTCAAATTTTAATTTTTTAACTCAAATAATTCTATTTCTTTATCTTAATTTCTTTTGCACTAAACAAGGTATAAAGATTCTCTTTTAAAATATAATAAAGAAATATGATGGACAAAATGATTTGTAATAACATCGAATCAAATAGGAAATATTTTAACAATAAATATTGATATATTTAATTAATAAATTTTTGTTTATTTTTATTTATTTTTGATTTTTGATTTTTTATTTGAACAGTAATTTAAATACAATGTTTCATGGAATGAAATAATTTTTATTATAAAAAATTATAAAAGTTAAATAATAAAAAATATTATAAAATGAATAAAATTACTTTTTATAAAAAAATTTGTAAAAATTAAATAGTAAAAAAATTAATCTATTCTCAATTATCATTTTTATGCATTTCTCCCTATATAGCCAAAAAAAGTAAATAGTAAAAAAAATAAAAAACGATTTAATTCTCAATCGGCAATCATTTGATACTAACAAATAAAAAAAAATATATAAGGTTGTTTTATTTTCTACCCATTTTTCTGTATGAGCTCCCAAATTTATTGCCAAGCAATTTATAGTATTTTTTAGATTGTTGATTTGGATTTGAAAAAATATTGAAACTAAAAATTCTAAACCATGATATATTTATTTATTTATTTTTTTATGACATGAAAACTCACAGCCGCTGTCCGAAAGTGCGCACTGAGTAAACCCTAGGCCGAACCTAATACCCTGCAAACCAGTTGATTTTAATTCTAGTTTTGATCGTAGTTTCAGTTAAAAAAAAATTGTCAATTATAGTTTAAAACAAAAGTTTATATTTCTTTTAATTTTTATTTATTTCTTTATTTTTATCAGCTTAAGCCATTTTGTCTTAGAATGGTCATTACTATTATGTTTCTCTAATTTCATCAGTTTTAATTTCTGTTTTATTTTTAGGGACCTCCAACCTAACCCCACTGATTTCAGTTTTATTTTTATTTTTGATTTACATAGAATTAATATAGCAAAATATTCAACATATTTGACTTTTTCTTAATTAATAACTATTGAATTATTTTTTGAATGCACAAAATACCCTCGTTTACAATCTACCGTTAAATTAACAATAAAAATAATCTAAGGGCCAATATAAATTTGAGATGATCCTGATTTTTTTAACCATACCAACTCCCCACTTAAATAACTATCTCCAGTTAGGTCAGGTCACCTGCCACACATGGTTCGTCTATTGCCCGTCGAACCTGATTTGCAAGATATTAGGTTCTGCCGAAAGTTTACCCAATGCACACTTTCGGGTAGCACCTGCAAATTCCCACTTTATCAAAAATAAAATATAAAGAATAAATTCGCCTCAAAGTCTTGCCTGCCCCAGAAGCGGGCTCAGAGTAACGACTCACATTATCAAAATATATATATGTACAAAGAAACACCACCTACACCACCTACATTAGCTCAAATCATGCTACCAAAGATGACCTAAATGTATTATAACCACCATAGCAAATTTAAAGACATAAAAATGACCACAAAATACATCTTTACATTATAGTAACAACAAACTAAAATCCCAACCTACTTTGTAAATATACCCATATATTCTCGATATCGGGTATGTCCGGACTCATCATCCCTACGAATATCCATAAATGTTGGACATTTTCACCCAACGCAAACTCAAAACCTCAATCAAGTCGATAAAAGCCAAGCCCACAAGTCACGTCAAATACGAAAAGAAGAAGTCTTATTTCCGGGAGGTAAAAAAGAAAGAAACATCAACAACCATCAAAATCGACCTTCCAGATTACAGCCACCAAAGCACGACACCGAAAACAAACTACGGCAAACTAATAGGAACAAAACACCCACACGGCGACAGCCATTTTCACACCCCCAATACGATCCCACATTCTTTTAACCTCCCGACACAATATTTCCAACAAACGAAACATGAAAAGAAGAAAAGAAAAGAAACAAATTGGAATATAGCAAGACAAAGTTCGGGTTTTGGTTTGTTCTTACCAGATATCATATATCAGAGTTGCACCTCCCGATCATATATCCAGCTAAATGGAATCCTCGGTCCTTGCTTGGCGCGGCCCTGAGCTCTCTCCTCTAACCTCCGGATTCTCGGAGGCAATCCGCAGACGTAATCCTGAGCTTTCTGACCTTCCGAAGACAATCCAGTTAGATTCTCGACCTTCCATCTGCCCACCAAGTGCTCTAAGATGTCGGCATAGTCTTTAGCTGTGTAGACACCAAGACGCTGGGCAACAGAAGAGAAGTGATCGAAAAGGTTGTCATCACGGCCATCGTACATCAAGTGGGCAGGCATGGAGATCTTCTTCCTCATCATGTCGGCAAAAGCCAGAACTGTTCCGTCAGGGTCTATCTCGAATAGCTTTTCAACTATCTTGGTGTACGCTGTTTCATGGCGCTTTTCGTCCGAGGCTATTGTACCACAAATTTGAGCGAGCTTCATGTCTCCATGTTCTCGCGCAAGCCTCGCAGTGTTGCCATGGGAGATGAACGTTGCCCTTTCTTGGAAGGATGTGTAGATAAAGCCGAGGTACGGACTGTTTTCAGTTCTCGGATCCTGAAAGGTTTAGGAAGCACATAATGTCAGGTTTAAAATGTAAATAATATGCTGCTACAGCTTGAATTTTTCAAAAACAAGCATGAACATTGTGATAAGCAAGATTCGAAAAACCGTATTCATAATGCGTCTAATTCAATGTGAAACTGCAGTGTCACAAACTCTAAATAGATATTTCACGAGATAATAATTCGAAAAGCGTTCTGCAATTAAGATTAGGCACTTAAAGCGAATGAAAAACAAATTAAACGAGAGAATCTGGCAAGACTCACCATTCCAGATCCGATCAGATACTGAATAGTCTTTTCAATTTGTCGCATGTCTACGCGCCCCGAAAGGTAAAGATACTTATTAAGGAGGTCTCCGTGCCTATTTTCTTCGGCAGTCCATGCCCTCGTCCAAACAGCCCATGAAGTTGCGCTCGCCCCTGTTTCATCCCGTACACCATCCAAGGTGTTGAGCATTGTCTGGTAGGTCGGAAGGGCTTCTTCAGTAATCATGTCTCCAACTAAAACAACAAAATAATCATCTGGAATCTCCCTGGCCCTTTCTCTTAATTCCTTGACCTGATCATGAAATCCATCCGAAGCAGGATCCGGCAAGAAATCCTGGGGCTGCCAGCTTTTCTCCACAGGCTTAAGGTGAACCAAGATATTATCCTCGGCCCAGTCTTCCATTGCCTTGAAGATCTCGATCTTTTGAGGTGGCATAGAGTGCGTAACTTGAACATGTACCTCGCGAGGAGGGGTAAAAGGCTTCTTCACAGTCTCGACCTCCCTATAACAAATTAAATGCATCAATGGGTAACTGTTGACACTCATTGTCACAACAATCGTGTCGCTGTGGCATGAATTTCAATGATAGAATAGTTAGCATGGAACGTACAGATTATATCATGAGCAAACATAATGTACGGATTCGGTTTCCGCCATAATTAAAGATGTTCCAAGATATACTAATGATCGATCATAGTATGTTATTTTGTTATGACACAAGTCTAAGCCACACACTGCTCCATGATTTTAATTCATCGAAAACTCGAACACTGAAAACACTTCTAAACCAGAAAACATAAGGTGGAACCAATCGAGGTTAGCCAAGAAAAAAAGTCTGAAATAATTCAATGTAGGACCAACAAGAGTTGCAAATGAACAGCAGAATTAGATACACACAAATGAGGTAAAAGGATAGCAAAAAGAACCATTAATTGAATGACATTTTTAATTAAGGAAGACAATCAGGGTGGGGGTTAGAGGTTGGGACCAAATGTTTGATGATTCAACTCAACCCAACCACCACGCCAGAATCATTAATTTCAAACCTACGAACCTAACAAATTTGAACAACCAATTTCAACATCATTAATCTCCATTGGAGTACTTCTTCACATGTTGTCAGCAAACTCCAACACAATTCCTCAAATCACTACGGTTAGTCAAATGGCCAAATTAAATGTGCATATCTATTGTCAGCAAAACCCTAACAATTTCAATCTGCAGAGCACAATAACGGAAAGAAAACTCAATTCAAATAACAAAGCACAGATACGCATATAAAAATCCAGATTCCTCATCGCGGAGAACACAAGATTATACGAACAAGCACTCAATACAATCCCCACCCAAATTAAAATCACGAAATTAACACGATATTAATATCAAAACAAACAGAATCAAAACAGCGAAATCCAACTAGGGCACGCCGCACCCAAAAATGACCTAAACAACAATCCCCAAAAATTGACAACCGACAGTATCTTACTTGGAACCGGAGCGAAGAGTGGAAGCCATTAAGAACCTAGGAGATCTGAGGCTGACCGCCGCCGGGAGAGCAAATGAAGGACATTTTGGAGCCCGAAAGTTGATGGCATTCAGCTTCAAATCCATTTCCACCTCTTATCACCTCCCTGAACCCTCACTTTCCACAGCAGATTTCCCCCTCCTCCTTTCACCGAGAAACCGCAAATTCCGTGAGAATCCGAGAGTAGCGATGGTACCAAGAAACGCTGTGGAGCTCCCGCTGCTGCTGAGTGTGGGTTTATATGTATAACGCCAACATTCATTGCTCACTGTAATTCTCAACCATCGTTATACACACCCTCGTCAGTATCACCCACCCTGAAATTACTATCTTGCCCCTCCCTCTCTTCCTTTTCTCTCTTTGTATTTAAATTAGTAAATTTAATTGATTGTGTACCTGATTCACGTTTAGTTTTACTAAATTGTGGTTGGCTTGCACTTATAAAATTGCGTCTGACTTTGTAAATTCTGTGGTATTTGACATAAATATTTTTAAATTACGAATAAATTTTAGAATCTTAATTTGTAAATTTTTAAAATTACAAATATATTTATTTTTTTATATTTAGGTTAAAAAAATAGTTAAAATAAACTCTTAAAATCTAAAAAAAAAAAACTATTTTTTAGTATATAAAATTAAAATTCTAAAATTTATTCGTATTTTCGACGTATTTATATTAAATACTATTAAATAAATACCACAGAAGGAATTCGACGCCGAATTTATAAAATCACAAAGAAATTTCATGCAACTTCGTGAAATCAAATATAAATTTTGCCCAATTTAGCCAATTTAATTTATAGGCACACGAGAGGGTGTAATGTGGGTTATTTAATTAATGACCAAAATAGCCTAACATTTATATAAAGATAAGTAAAGTTGCTTTTTATATGTATATTTATTAGATAATTAATTAAATGCAGAGCAGGGGCAAAATGGTAAAAGGGGAGAGGAAAGAGGGGACAAAATGAAAGTGAGTAGAGAGCACAAAAGAGGGGATATTCCACGTGGCAGGTTTATTCGATTGCATGGCTTCCACGTGGGCATCATTTCTTTTTATATATTGACATGTAATAAATAAATAAATAAATAATGATTATAATAATATATTAATGGAAGTGGTTTTTTGCTGATGCAGAGTCGGATGGGAAATAGTTGGCTACCATTAATTTCAGGAAGAGTACAACCGGCTTTGACCCTCGTATCATCTCCACCGTTCATCTTTGATATTTCTTTCAGGACTAAAAGAAAATAATAATGAGATGCTAAATTCTACATAATTCATTCTCCAATCGCTCCATAATAAAGTATCTATTTTTTATTTTGGTCTGTTCCATAACAAAGTATTCATTTTCGTTTTTTAGTAACTGTACTATTTACCTAACATTACAAATATCTTTACAACTTACAATATATTACACAAATATCATTACTTTTATATCACACGTACTAATAAAGTTATTTTAGTCATTTCTATTTTATTCATACTATATCTCAATATAATACTAATATTTTTAAAACTACGTGTAAAAAGCAAATAGATATTTCTTTATGAGAAGGAGGGAGTGTATGATTTCATAAAATTTATTTTGCACGAAATCTCTAATACTTTTAAAACTGTGTTAAATTCTCTCTTAGTTTTATAAACTCACGACTTGAAAGATCTGTTTGGTTTTAGAAAAAGATATATTTTTAAAAAATAAAAGATAAATAAATATGTCACTTTTTTTTAAAAAAAATTGTAATTTAAAAATATTTTTATTTTCTTTTTAACTAAAAAAATTATTATTTTTATTAAAATTAGTGATCATACAACCGAGATAGAAAATATTTAATTATAAGTTGAATTATAATATACTAAAATAATCACATTAATATAAAAATATCAATATCTTTATATTTAATTATAAATTGAATTATATATAAATCACAATCACATTATTATTATTATTATTATATATATAATACAAAAGAAAAAAATATATCAAAATCATTTTAGACATCTTCATTAATTAATAAAAACACTATATATGACGAAAAAATATTGTTTAATATATTTTTCGAAACTATCAAGAGTATGTTTGTTTTTTGAAATTGTTTAGAATGATTTTTTTTTTTTAAATGAAATATAAAAGAATATATAAATAATTAATGTGTAAATATATTTCTTTTTTTAAAATAATATACAATACAATTCTTTTTTAAAAAAAAAATACATTCCAAATTATACTCTTAATTTTTTATATATTTAAAAAAAATTAATATTACATTTTATATATCACATCAATACGTATTTATAAATAATATATAAATAAATATTTTTACTTCTCAAAATCCAAACCCCATCAAACACACAATAGAAGTGGCGTAGACAAAATGGTGCATAATGATTGGAGGGGCGACTCAAAATGGGCTAACCGACGTGGACGTCAAGCCACTGTCATTGGATCCATTTTAAAAAATAAAGGTAATATTGCTTATAACTCCCGCGTGGTTTTGAAATTCAGCGTAAAATCTCTCTATACTTTAAAAATTGCATGGTATTCTTTTATATTTTAAAAAATGTTATATGAAACTCCACCACCATGAAACTTTCCTTATGTGATTAAAAAATGATTTCTTATCTATATGTTTTGCATGGCAAGGGATTTCATGCAATATTTTTAAAAGTATAAGGGAACGTCATGCAATTTTTTAAAGTAAAATGGAGATTTATACTAAGTTTCGAAACCACGTAGTAGTTTCATGTAACATTTTTTAAAGTATAAGGCGGTGTCATGCAATTTTTGAAATAGATGGGAGATTTACGCTGAATTTATAAACCACGAGGGAGTTATGAACAATTTTGCCAACAATAAATAAGTGTGTTTGATAATAACTATCATAATATATTAACTTATAAAATATTATATTGGCTTCAAAATAAACAGATATTTAAAATGAGCATGAAAATTAAAAATTATTATTATTATATTAATGTTGGATATAAAAATATTTTTAAAATGTTAAAATATCTATACATTATATAATAATTGTGAAAAAATATAAATAATTTTGTAAAAAAATTGGGTACTAATTATCAAAATAAAAACAAAATAAATATTTTAGAATAAACGAAAATAATAAAATAAAATTATTATTTTAAGCCACAATATTTTTTAAATAATGTGGATCAGGCGCTAGCGCTGAATTTTTACATTAAGCACATCATTCAAAATTAATTAAATTATTTATTTACATATATTAAAATTATTAATACTAAGTATTCAGCAAAGCTGCCGAATTTTCAGTATATAATCCTTTCTCTTTTTGAAATAGCAAAAATAAATATCTTTACAAAACTCAGTGACTAATAACATAATTCTTCAAAATTATATACACTAATTGTTTGTTTGGAAGATTGAATTTTAAATCCATTATTCATCCCATTTTTTTTTCCAAAAAAATATCAAATCAAACATATATTTTTCATTTTTTATATTATACTAAAAATCAATTTTACATTGAAAACATCACGTGAATACTTATTTATATTATATCATACAACTATTCAAATTCAAAATTTTTACTGTTCAAATTTCAACTTAAAATCTAAACACCCAAACAAACACACTCTAAAAAAAACTATTCAATTTGAATAATTGTTTGATGTGATATAAATAGAAATTGATGTGATGTTTTAAATATAAAATAAATTTGTATTATAATATAAAAAAGAAAAATGATTTGATTTAATATTTTTGATGAAAAAAAATATATATATGAATAGTAAAATCGAAACACAATAGATCCGAAACTAGAGATATTGTAATCAGTAAATTCGGAGTTGGAAATTGAATCAAAACAAATCAAGTTGCACTAAATCGAATGAAGAAAAATTGAATAAAAGGCTGGGAATTCAAATATGTGAATTAATCGATGGAACAAAAATTATGCTGCGGCAATTTTAGGAACTGAAATTAAACAAGTTAAATTTAAGAATGAAAATTGAATGCAACCCAAAATTGAAATTAATTTTTATATATTAAAGGATAAAAATACCATATTAACCTTTTTTTTGTCTTAAAAAATCACCACCGACGGCTTAATCAAAAAAGTATGTCGGAATTGATTTGTTTGAAGAATTTCTCGACCTCCTCAAGAAATGATTCGGACCATTTAGCGATGATAAAAAAATTAATATAACAAGAAGGTAATACAGAAAATTGCAGAAAAAAAAAAAAAAAATTAGAAAGAAGAAGATGATGAGTGTCTCTTATGTTCTGCCATAGAATCATCTCCATTGTTATTAATTTTTTGAATTCTTTAGGAGAAGTGATCTTTCTTGTCTCTGCTGGGTTGCTTCCAAGTCGAGTTGTACCTCGCTGAATGATAGGCCAGATGGGCCAGCAAGTTCGTCTACTACTTTAGGCCGTATGCTGGTCGCAAATGTCCTTGGGCCGGAAGATATGCGTTTGGGTCGTACCTATGCTGGACTGGCCCCGATTAATTATTTGTGTGTGCAACAAATACCGTAAAAAAATAATGGTGGTCAACGCACGTGAGAGAAGTTTTGTTATAATTTTTTGGACGCGACAAAAAATATAATTCATTTTTGTAACGAAACATAACCCGTAACAAATGATGCGGTGCAAATATTTTCTGACAGTTGCAATATCTTTTCGTAATGGTTTTAGTAATGAAATCATTTTGTAACAAATAATATACAATTTGTTTGTTTAAAAAACCTTTTTGTTACCGTCTAAAAATGATGCAATTGTAAGAGTGTTTGTAACAACATCAATTTTGTGACAAATAATATACAATTTATTTTTTTCCATAATAAATACGAAATTCATCATAAAATCTATAAAACGAGACAGATCCAACTACTTCTAAAGCATCCATAAATAGCTACACTTATAATCGTGTCAACTATGCACGAAAGAACTACATAAAATGCAAACAAACAAAAAAAATGATCAATCTAGTCAGCCAAAAAGACGTAATTATACAAAAAATGATCACTCCAGTATAGAAAAATATAAGACATCAATCCAATCTAAACATATACATATATGTGGACGCTTATGCAGTGACAAAGTACGGGGGAGCCATTTAGGTGCGGCAAAACACCTGTAATTAATAATTTATATAAAAATTTATTTACGAAACGAATAAATTAGTACAAAAAAAAGCCCTCAATGTGATCAACTCGTAGAACAAAATGGAATCCAGTGGTGCACTAAATAGTTGACTAATCATGCATTTACTAATCCTTGACTAGA